AATGTCATCATGCCATTCTTTGTCCATGCGCCAATGTCTGCCTTGTCGAGAGCAGACATGGAGATCAAGCTGGAGCGAAGATCTGGCGCAAGCCACACTTTCTGGAGAGTGAGAGGGGCCATTTGTCCTGATGAATCTTGATCTAGCAGGTGTAGGATTGTATCTCCATATCCCTCAGTGTAGAAGACATCCCCAGTTGCTGTCGAAACAGGCAATACACACCGTCTAAAGTTGACAAAGACAGATCTGTGAGGAGTCATATGTGTGCTAGTACCGGAATCGATCATCCAGCGGGTAACATCATTGTTGTCGTTAGCCAATAGGCCTTCCTTCGACACAATATGGGAACCATGAACTGCATTTGCCTGGATACCGGCAAAAGAGCGCATTCGTAAAGAGATTGTTATACCGCGCTAGGGGATCCCCCGATGGAGGGCCTTTTTGCGGTACGGTGGGGTACGATGCTGGCACAAAGATTGCATTCGCTCCCTGGCGAGGCTGTTGTTGCGGCAGAGAAAGGATCCGAACTTGGTTGTCAACCTGGCCTATGATTTGGCCTGGTTGAGGGACTGTAACCCGTTGAAAAGGAGGTTGCTGCTGAGGTTGTTGAATGGTAGTGGCGTTTGCCGAATTCTTCAGCAAGAGACACTTGTTGGAGTAATGATTTCCAAGAGTCCCATGATGTCTGCAAAGGATGACGTTCTCTTCTCTGACGAAGTCGGTCTTCTTCTTCGAGGGTTTGTCCTTGTTGTTATTATTATTCGATGAGTTGTTCGAATTGGATTGCTTGTCATTGCCTCCTTTCTTCGTGTCTTTCTTCTTGTCATTGTGCGACGACGACGAGGTTTGAACAGTCGTCGAGTTTGCATTGTAGGAAGGGTTCATAGACCGGTTATGGATGTCTACCTCGAGGAATTCGGCGTAGACTTGATCCATGAGATTGACATCCTTCTCATCAACCCTAAGGTTCTGGAGAAAGGCATAACACTTGGGGTTTTCATTGATGGCTTTCTTGAACTTTGCGTACAAAATCGCTTGCTGAACCATTTTTGAAGCGGAGATCAATCCACCTGGTGTAGCGAGCAAATGAATGTTGATGAGATTTAACAGCGTACATCGAGTAAAGCTTTTTGAATGTTTCTCGGACATCTGTGTACTGAGATACGTGAGAAAAAGGCTCTGGACCGAGAGTTCCCTTAAGTAGTATGATAGCCCTCGAATTGCACGATTCCCAGTTCGTGCACTTCATATTGTGGGCTTTTCGGAGTGCATTATTGGATTCGACAACTTCCTTGATACGAGCACGAAGTTGAGCAGGTGTAATGACAATTGTCGTGGTATCGTCACCAGAAAATTGTTGTGCTTCTTCAATAAGTAATTGTCGAACTACTTCAGGATCGGTATCTTGAAAATCCGGTGATTCAGGCTTAGACTTCCGAAAAGATCGAAACCCGACCCTTTTGAGAGTCGAGTCGGGTCGGGTTTCGAGCTTTTCGAGCTTTTCGAGCTTTGCGGAAGTCTATTGAATCAGGCTGTGGAATACCCTTAGCAATCATATGCGAATAATACCGGTTGTTGGCAGTGAGGGCAAGGTAAAGAGCAGTTTGCCAGTCACTGAAGTTTGATTGTCCCTTCAGTTTTGGGACAGAGGCCGAGATATCAATCTCGTTTGGACTGAGAACAAAGTCCTCGATCTCGTAGGTTTGTTCCATCGGCATCGTGACGACAGCGAGGGAGAGATCGGCGACGTGAGGTTGGTTCGGCGACAACAAGGTTGGACCCACCGTTCGATAGATGGTATCCTGGGGTTTCGTCGACGTAACTGGACAGCGACGACAATGTTGGACCCACCGTTCGATAGATGGTATCCAGGAAGGTTAGACAAGGTGTTGATCTTGTCTAAAAAGGGTTGGCGAGGTGTTAGTCTCGTCAAATGGGATTTGGTGAAAATTCAGATTTGTGGGGTCAAAAATCTCCACCGTGGTGCGACGCAGGCACCAAAAAAAGGGTTAACCAGGGTTTCGAGGGTTGCATTACACAATAGCCTCGAAGGCAACGGCTCTCATAACCTGAGAGAGATGATATTCAGTCTCCAAACGAAGCTGTAGATGAAACTGGAGATCTCTGGATGCGTTGTGAGAGAGAGAAACTATCTACATGCTAAGACTGAGACTAAGTACTGGGAGCAAACAGTGGTGGTCACGTGACCTTCCAACACCTCTATAGTGTCTATCCTCCTTTCTAGCGTTGAGTTTTACTCCTTTCTCGGAGCATTGTTTTTGGTGTTATATAGGCTAGGCCTATACGTATTCGAATAGTAGTTAGCTAGGCTAGCCGGTTAAGCTACTACTAGATAGGCAGTAGATAAAGTTCAATATCTAATGCCTCCCTAGCAGTTATTTTAAAAGCACCGCTCATTAGATATACTGCTCTCGCCTATATGCTTATAAACTGTTTCACATAGCTTCTCTCTCTTAGTGTTATAGTCAATGGTGAATGCCAAGCCGCCGCTCCGAATAGTATCTACGGGATTATCACCGCCTAATAGATCGTACGTATTAAAGAGAGAGATACTCCCTACATAGAGCCAGTTAGACCCCGCAGCGCTTATAAGCTAATACCGGCCTTAGCAAGCATTTACTACCTATAGTGCCGGAACGTTAAACCGGGATCTAGCTAAACCCTAAGATACCGCTCCGCTGTGGTGGTAGCCTATATAGTAAGTAGTACTCGGTAGCACCAATAGTGTATACTCCTCCTCCCTAGATCCCGGGTTCACGAAGTGTATAAGTGCGTACTTCTTAGGATCGAACACCGAGGCGTGCCTAGCTACCTAGGCATCGGTATACTGGTATACTTTTTGTAGCTTCGAGAAATTTTTATACTTGTCCTTCCCGATGATAATAAAGGTAACGTCGTCCACCCACCCACTTATCTTCACCCCCTCGTAGCCCTCTACTAGATCTATATTATAAATTAGGTATAGGATTAGAGAGAGAGGTGATCCCTATAGGATACTAGTTGGTATTAGGATACTCGCCGATACCCCCTCTAGTGTATAATCGTGCCGAGAATGACTATTTGCACACCCCTTAGCGTCATTTTTTACTATCTGCACACCTTTAGTCCTTTTTAGGTATAGCCTTGCTAACCGTTTGTCATCATTTGTGTAATTTAATACGGTATCCGCATAGTAAATGACACCATCATCACCTGACTCTTGGCCACATATAACTG